ATATACACATACATACACACACACACACACACACACACACACACATACACACACACACACACACACACTAAAATGATTTAAGTAATGAACTGTTTCAGACAAATTTCTATTTCTCACCCCCATTGGTTTTATTTCTGAGGGTCTTATTTTTTAAACAAAATTGGGAAAAGGAAATAAACTTCCCATGCAATGGTCTAAAATCAAGATATCCCCTCTGCTATCAGTAAAACATCATAAAGGCAGTTGTAATATTTGTTCTCAGCAGGGAAAGATGGTGAGGCAATCAAAGGGAAAAAAAGTGTTCTAAGCTTCAAACAAAGCAGCAAAATTGGAAACATTCTGTTGGAATGTTTTGAGTGAGTTATGTGTTCCAACAGAATAAACATGGAAATATTTTTATAGTTGATATGCAGATGAGACTAGCCTTTTGTTTTCCATACCAGGACCATAACAGTTGGTGAAGTGCTGAATACTACCATATCTCAATTATTTGTTTGGCTTTAACTGTACTTAAACATGTTTTCAGAAATAATTCTCTTGGTATTTTTTTTTTTAAGTTTAGGCTACTAACCATCTGGTTTTTGTGTCTGGTACTACTGCAACTCTAGTGTCTCAGACTTGAAGGGGGTTCCCAAGGTCAAGGTAAATCGCCTACTAGGCTTAATGTTAAGTCAAGATTGTATATGTCTAGCAAATTAATCCTCTGTTTTAGTAGTTTATTAAGGTCTTGCACTTACCATCTGAGGATCATTAGATCTGCTCACCCAACCAGAAATGAGTTTTAAAGTTTCCCTTTTTACTGTTCTCATACTTCTAATCAGAGGTTGCTTTGTTACCATTTCACCTGGAAGAGTTTTAAGGTCAATTACAAATCAAGAATAGCCTTGGAGGAGCAAGGTGATTTAGAAAATTTTAACTCAGCTTTTCAAAAATCAACGAATTAGGGAATATGAAAGAAAATCCAGAACGAAATAATTATTATTAAATGCTATTCAGATTCAAGATGCATCAGAAGAGTTACAAAATCTTCCTATATATAGTAACGTTTCTATAAAGACAGAAAATACCAAAATTCTCCATGATACCTTGGTTTCACTAAGTGTATAGATTATGTTGGCAGAACACAGGTGATCCAGGCCATGAACTCTTAAGGTATGATTACAGAACAAACAAGCTCCTATTTTTATAGTTACAGAAAATCTGCAGCAGATTATTATAACATGTACATTTTGATTGGGTGTAAAAATATAAGCTTTAATTGACTTTGTGGAAATGATTCTGGATTACATCCTTCTCTCATGTGCCATGTAACTCTATTCCATCTTTATCACTAGAAGTATTTGTATACATTGCCCCTAGCTATGATTAAGTACATGAGTTGAAAAGCTTTGTGCTGGGTTCTTGGAGAATACTAAAAATGATTGCTAGACTTATTTATTTACTGTCACAAGGGGGAAGGAAGGGTAATATTATTTAAATGATTTAAATTCAATTTCATTTTATTTTGGGTCCATTCATAGGTTTTTGGAATGAGGCCCAGGTCTGGTGCTAAGTACAGAAAAAAAAATTCTTTCCCCTGTTTTATGCTCAAATGAGCTTAGTGCTTCAAACTTAAGCCAGGGTTTTACCGTGTTTCCCCGAAAAGAAGACATGCCCTGCTAATAAGCCCAATCAGGCTTTTCAGAGCATGCGCCATAAGCCCCCCCAAAAGCCCGCCTCCAACTACTTAAGCGCATGCGCAACTGGTTCCCGCCATTACCACTGTACTGCCTACTGGTACAGCTTGCGGGGCAAAAAGAGGACTCACCGCAAAAACAGCGGCAGGCAAAGCAAAGTGCTTCCACCTCCCACCCTTCCCTCCCACGCAAAAAGAGCCCACCGCAAAAACAGCGACAGGCCAGCAATGCGATCACCCCCTCAAGCCTGTTCCTTCTGGCGCAAACAAACACTGCCCACCCAAATGATAAAGGCATCCTGCCTGGTTCCTTTCCCCGCCGTCCCTTTAGCGAGGGGTGGCAGGTGGGGGAAGAAGCGAGGCGCACCTCTTACTTTTCCAGGTCTGTTGCGTTCCTCGCCCTTTCGCCCATTGAACCCCCTTGTAAAAAAAACTTTGCGAGTTGAACTCATGCGGCTTCCCTGAACACAATGGTGAGGAACGCGATGGAGCTGGAGAGGTAAAAGGCGCACTTCGCATCTCACCTGCCCCCCAAAATAATAAGCCCTCCCCTATAATAAGCCCAAGGCCATATTTCATGGGGCAAAAGAAAATAAGACCCTGTCTTATTTGGGGGGAAAACATGGTATTGTTAGGCTAAAGTGCTATTTTCAACCAAAAAATTATGCTGATGTGTCTTATGTTACCAAAATATGATTTTATATTTAGCAATTATCTTTACACTACAATGTATGAAGCTATTTAGGTTCTGCAACAATTCATCTGGTGAGATCATATTCATTTCAATAAAGCTTATTCACCTATCACAAATTAAGCAGATACCCACAATACAACCCAGTTTTAAACTTGCTCTTATTATCTTTACTGAATCATCCCGTGATTTGTTTTACATTCCTCTTCTATATTAGTCAAGTTCATTTTTTTGACATGTTAAATAAGTAAGAAGATCTAAAATATTGTTGTAATTAAAGCAGTCACTCTTACCATTTGCTTGAATAGCTGCAGAAATGTTTTCACTTAGGCACTTATACACATTCAGCATATCTAAGTAAATTCTTCCAAGCTGAATTACAAATGGATGTCCAACAGCTTTACATGCCCTCACATTAGTTTTCAGGATACTCCCCAACTGCTTAACTGTTTCAGAGTCTTTAAGAATATCAACATTCTGTTAAAACAGAAATTTGTGCATTTAGCAAGCAAAGCAGCCTTTCATCTAATAGTATATAAAAGTTAGTATGTTTCTAGGAACAATTCAAGATGCAGTTTTTGACCTTTAAAGCCCTATGCAGCATGGGCCTTTTCTGCTGTGGTCCCTGCATTATAATTATTATTCTTTCCAGAGTAAGGCTAGCTTTGTCCCTTTTAAATTTCCAAACATTCCCCAAGACCTGGTTGTGTCATCTGGCTGGTGAAATATTGTGTAATATTGCTTTTCACCTAGTATTTTTTATTTTTGTACTTTTTATAATTTTATAACTGTAATAATAATTTAAATATGACAAATGGGTAAATAATCTTGAATTCAACAGTTCCATTTCATTTTGTATACAGACAAAAATACTTGTAACATATGTATTCTAATACAGAGATTGACTACCCAATATTAATTATTTAATGCACGAATAGTTTTCTGTTTTGATTATGCACAATACACAATAATAAAACAATTCCGATAAAATACTTGCTGCTCACCAATTTTTTCTTGAAAGCAAAACAAATCACACCCAACTTACTGTATTTTTTGGACTATAAGACGCACCAAGATTTTGAAGAGGCAAATTTTGCACTCTGCAGACCTCCTAAAACATCCTGTTTTTCACAAAAATGGGCCCATTTTTTGTGAAAAAAGAACATGCATAGCATTTAGGAGGCTTGTAGAGTGCTCCTGTCTCTCCCCCAAAATAAGCAAAAAATGGTCCGTTTTTCGCTCATTTTAGCCCTCCCAGCCCCCAGGAGCACTCTGGAAGCCTCCTAAAGGATATGCACAGCCATTTTTGCAAAGGGGCGGAGTTTCAGGAGGCCAAAAATGCTGTATTCATTGTATAAGACACGCCCAGATTTTCACCCTCTTTTTTGAGGGAAAAAGGTGCATCTTATACTCCGAAAAATAAGGTAATCTTCACAAGAAACCAACATTTTCTGAAATTATAATCATGCCTGCAAAGAATATACATATTATGAACTCTTACTTTTGTAGCTTGTTGAATTATGCTGTCCCATACTTGATTAGGGAGTAACATATATTTCTCTATCAAATGCTCTTGTACTGTCTGGTCAGTTTGAGCACCAATCATATATCCAACTGCTTCATAAAACGTATGCACCTAATTGAAGAAAAAGTATACTAAATATGTAATTGAATATGTTTGGAACTCAATAATTTCAATAAAACAGTTAACCTGTAAGTTTCAAATCTTAC